GAAGAATGTAACAAATTAAATTTGCCCGCCACCCAATTTATTGTCATCCCTGTGAAGAATGTAACAAATTAAATGTTGGACCTCAACGTAATGTTTGTATTGCATTATTATTATATTATATATGAAATAGAGGACACTTATTATAATAAAATTTTTATAATATTAGTAACCAAATATCGTTAAGTTATACTTCTTCCTTCTTGATATTGTAATTGTATTCGCACTTTCGCACTATGTATACCTAGAAAAAAGCAGTATATAGCTTCAATATTACAACAACAATAACGAGCCTTAATCCCAACTTAATTAGGGTCGGCTATATGGATTTCACTTTTTCACACTGTTCGAAATTAAACTTTCCTGAGGCCTAGATCTAGAATGTCTTTCCTAACGACTTCACTCCACGTAATTCTTGGTCTACCCCTCCCTCTCCTAGTATTAGGTATAAGAATGTCCTCCCAAACACGAATTGGTGATAGCTTCAATATTAAAAAAAAAAATAAGAATTTAACTACCAACTCAACATTGCATATGAAGGGAATTACCAACTAAACTTGCTACCACCCACACATAAAATCTTTAATTTTTACAGGAAAAAAATAAAAAATAAAAAATCACAAGTACACCTTAAAAAATGAAGTTTAATGAGACTAGGGAAAAATGCCAAAAGTACGAAGTTTTTGTAAAATATTACATTTATTTGTGTTTTTTGAAATATTAAAAATACGAGCCCTTTAGTTTGAGTATACAGCCAATTTACCAGTCAAACTTTTAAAATTTAAAAAAAAAACCCTAAAAATTATTAATTGAAGGATAAATTTCACTCATACACCTTGAATTTCTGGTCATTTGCATGTTACACCCTAAAATTTTAATTTTTGCATCTAGGGCCCTAATGCTATAATTCCTGACAATGCAATCCAATCAATAATGTGTATCAATTAACTGACGAAAATGAGAGTTTGAAATGCCAAAAATTAAAAAAGTTCAGTGTCCAACTTGTCAACCAATGAAAAGTTTGGGAATGTATTTCTTAGACAATTTCTGCCCATCAATAGAGGTGCATTAGTTAGTAGACCATAATTGCACAAAATTTTCAAATTTAGAGTCATGTGTGTTAAAATTGAAAACTTCCAAGTTACCAAATACAGATAAATTCAAGGTAAACCACAATACAATTAAGTCTGAAATTTAGGTCTCGTTCACTTCACGGATTCGAGTTTTCAATTCGAACTGAGATGTGACATTTTCTGAGAGTTTTTCACTGTAGCAAAAAAAGTTAGATGTGACATTTTATGAGAGTTTTTTACTGTAAAAACTTAAAACTGAAAATTTAAATCAGTGAAATGAACGAGGCCTTAAAGTCAGTGAAGTGGTCCATGTACGTTGTCACCCTACATTTTTCGACAGCTAGGTATGACCAATAGCTAGTGAGAGTTTGAAAGAATTGTCTAATTTTCTTGTTATCCTGAGAAAGCAACATTGGAACTTCAGGTGCTTGAGTAACTCATTCTTATCTTAAAAGAAAGACAGAGAAGACTGCGGCCTCGTTCACTTTGCGGATTCGAGTTTTTAATTCGAGTTGAGATGTGACATTTTTTGAGAATTTTTTACTATAGCAGAAAAAGTTAGATGTGATATTTTTTTAGAGCTTTTTACTGCAAAAACTTAAAATTAAAAACTTAAATTGGTAAAATGAACGAGGCATGCATTTATGCTCATTTATGGATTTCGCCATTTGTAAGACTCAATAATAGATAGCAAAATGAATAATGATGAGCCCACATGGCCCCATAACATAGACGTAACAGTTGGACATCTTCGAATTCCAACAAACTCTGACCAGCATGCAGCCACATGGATTCATGGAATGGGTCTCATCGTATTCGTGGTGGAGCCAAAAAGGAAAAAATAATCGAAAGAAATTAGAGATAATTTTCCATTTGATAGGAATACATACAATTATATATCTCAATTATTGAGCAGAACATACTTCTAATTCTTCTCATAAAGTAGGGTTATAATTAGAACTTTTACAAACTTAAGGATAAAAAATGAATTTTTAAAAGTTAAGTAGAGTACGTGTTTCACTCAATATAAGATGGCTCGACTACTGATAGTGAGTTGGATGAATAACAATTTCTAATTTTTAAATGAGGTTTCTAATTCGAGTTGAGATGTAATATTATGTGAGAATTTTTTATTATAGTAAAAAAAATTAAATGTGACTGTTTCTGAGAATTTTTTACTATAATAAAACTCAAATTTTAAACTCGAATCAACAAAAAAAAAAAAAAACAAAATATTTATAGGAGTAATCATGTTATAAAGTAGATGAAACAAGAAAGCAGGGATGGAGCCAGTTAAGGCCCAGAGGGGGCCCAACTGGCTCATTAATGTATTTTTTAATTATTATGATTTTTGCTCTTCTATTATTACTAAGCCTCCCCTCAAATTTTTTAAATTTCTATTTTGATACAAAATATTTAAAAATTTTCATTTACACCTTTATTTTTTACTTTTAATTACACACCTAGAAAGTATTATTCTTATTATTCATCTCGTAAGAACTCTAAGGGAGTTCTTTAAATTTTAGTTAAATTCTAACTAAAATGACTACAAAGTTATTTTAGTTTGTAACTTTTTAGTGAGTCACTCTAATCATGCTCTCTATTTTAACTAAATATAGATTATTTTAATATTTTTTTGAGTTTAAAATATAAATAAACTTTTTTAAAACTTTTACTTATGTCAAAACAAAGAATAAAATAATAAAAAGAACAAATAGTTAACCACTTCTTGTTAGCTATATTTAGTTAATGAAAAATATTTTAACAAAAATAGTTAACCATTTAACTAATGGTTAAGGTGAAGAAAAATTAAAAAAGATCATTATCTATTTTAGTTAAAAAAAAATAAAATGACTAGTGCAATTAGAGTGGTAGTAAACTAATAATGCAATGATAACCTTAAAGGGGTAATGCTGGCTCATTTAGGCCTCGTTCACTTCGCGGATTCAAGTTTTCAATTCGAGCTGAAATGTGACATTTTCTTAGAGCTTTTCACTGTAGCAGAAAAAGTTAGATATGATATTTTCTGAGAGCTTTTTACTGTAAAAATCTAAAACTAAAAACTCGAATCGGTAAAGTGAACGATACCTTATTGGTTAAAGATCTTGGTCTTGGAGGTATGCTCCCTCTCAGGTCTAAGCTTCGAATCCTCTCGAGTACAAATCCCTTGAGGTCACGCCTTTTAGCAAAAAAACTAGCTACTTATCGCGAGGTGTGAGTAAGCTGGCCTAGACACCCATTGGTTGAAAAAAGAATATTAATGATTATTATTATTGTAAACACAAGGTGTATGTGACTCTTATATTTTTTATGAGAAACTTATTAAATTTACTTTTTAGAGTGATTGTGTGTGAATTTTTATCTCTTACTTTTAATTAATATCATCTTAATTAATATAATTATTTAACTAATAAGATATTAATCAAGAATAAGTGATAAAAATTTAAAATTATTTAAGAGATATTTATCTCATTTCCTCTATATTTATGCCAACTGAACTATGAACAAAATATGAATAGGTAACTTTTTATTGTCGATTTTCAATAGAATTGCATTGTTATTGTTAACACTTTAAAAGAAAAAAGTAGTAGTATAAATAATGTGTATTTGTTCTAGGCTCTAGCCTCTAGCTAGTCCGCTTGACATTTTCCAGTCATGGCCTTTTATCTTCAGGTAACACATTTCAAATGTAGAGGAATATCACTGGGCCTGAGTTGGGCCCATGTCTTGGGAGACGCCTTCTCAGCTGCAGATTTCATGAACAAATGGGCTCAAGTCGTTACTGAAATTCAGTCCAGTGGCCCACCCAAGACCACAACATTACCATTACCAAACCCAAAGCCGGAAGACTTTGAAGCCCCAACATTACTCACCAAAGACTTACCAGTTTCCCTAAACCGGGTCGACCAGGTTGGGGACCATTGGATCACAACCAACACCACCAAAATGGAAACATTTTCTTTCCCCATTTCTCCTTCCCAGATTGCCAACTTGAAAGTCAAGATTGTGGGCCCATTTTTTGAGTCTCTTTGTGCCATAATTTGGCAATCCATAGCCATACTTAGACAAGAAAATGAACCAAAAACCGTGACAATTTGCAAACACAATTCCAAAAGAACCAAAGGGGTTCTATCCAACAGTCAAATTATAAGCACAGTCAAGGCAGATTTCTCAATAATTGGGGCGGATCCAAAGAAATTGGCCACATTACTTGCTGATCAAGCAACTGAGGAAACAACCCAAATTGTGGAAGCAATAGAGAAAGATCAAGGCGTATCTGATGTCATAGTTTATGGAGCAAATTTGACGTTTGTTGACTGGCAAGAGGCTAATTTCTATGAACTTGAATTGCAGGGACATAACCCAGATTTTGTGTCTTACAGTATTCAAGGCATTGGTGACAATGGGGCTGTTTTGGTGCTTCCGGGGTCCAATCATTTTGGAAAAGGTTGGGAAAAGGGAAGGTTGGTGACTGTGATTTTGCCACAAAATGAAGTTTGGGAGCTGAAATCTGAGTTGAAGAAGAATGAGTTGATGCTTGAGAGTAGCATTGAGTGAAAAATGAAAAAAGTAATAAGTATGTTATGAAGGAATTTGACTCTTGTATTTTTTTATTCGTGTCCTCTTTTATGTCTTCATATCATACAACGTCAATTAAATTATTGTGCTGATTAAAAAATCATGTCCAGTCGATTAAAATACCATATGAATTAAAATATCTGGTATAATATTTATTTAAAAGACACAAAAGAGGACAAAAAAAAAAAAATAGGATATATGAGCTGAATCTATCATGAAGATGATAGTGGCTCAAATGTAATGGATGGTGTTACATACCGCATGAACTCTTTATCTTTATTTTATTTCTTGTTTTTCACTTTCTGTAATGGTGAGGACAGTGTTGTAACTGTGCAATTGTCTACTTGGGAATAACGTTGTCACTAGAGTGAGTTGTACTTGGTGGGGCCTAGCATATTTAGTAAATGTTTCTTCTTTGTGAAAATTTAATAAATGTAGCTTTCACTTTTCACATTTGCTTTCTTATGATGAAGTGTATTGCGTTGTATTTATTTAAAGGCCATACAATAATTTGACATTATATAGTACAAAACAATGAAACATGGCCAGCAAAAAAATGTTCTTTTTGAGGGAAAAAAAAAAACGAAATGTTCTTTTTTGGGGCGTTAATTTTTTTCAAAGAAAAAATTACTGATATCTATTCTTTTTGAAGACATTGTAAGTTTTCTTAATTTGAATATAAAAAAAAGTGGGTTCGGGGATCTTTGGATATATAAAAAAAAATGATATAATTCTGATTTTGTCAACCTATCAAACTCGCAAACCTAATTTCCTAGAGAAAAATAAACACATAAAGTTACTTTCATTAAGCTAATTGGCAGTGCTTCTGCCTTCAAATAGGAACAAAATTTTTCGAAATCTCTTGGAATAATTGCAAGTCTTTCTCAAATATAACTTCATAGTAATCTTTTAAGGTGACCCTTCAATTACGTTTAGGGCGTTATTATTAGAACCGGTTATGTGCTTTTACCGTGTTTACTTATAAAACCTCAGAGTCTTATCTTAATGAAACTGATTTCTTCTTTTAGAACGAGCTCAACGAATTCGAAAGCCTAACTCCAGATTTTGTCAAAACGCACAGTTAAGAGACCAAACGACTCAAACAAAAGCTGTACGACATTTCTTGACACTTTCAAAATAAACAGTCCAAGAATGAAGCCCAACTAAACTAATCAAAGCCCAAAACATAAAAAGAGAGTCAAAATGACCCACACTACTCAAAAGTTATTATCAAAAATCAAATTAGCTACTTTGTAGTTTGTAACATTTTCCACCTTTTTTCGTTAATACACTTTTTTCAGTCTGATTGAATCCTAGTTCACACAAGTATATGGAAATGCACATGTGCATACTCATAACTACTCAATTCTTATTACGTTTTGTTTTGTTTATTTATTTATTTATTATTATTTTTTTTTTTTTTTAGATTAGAACTTATTAGGATTATTTGGCTGAAAACTCAGCAATCTCCAATGTTATTTGCAATTTTATGCATATTATTGACTCCTTGTTTCCTCTCTTTCTTCTTCTTTTGTACTTCCCTTTGGTTGAGCTACAATAAGTTTGATTTTGCAAAATATTAGAGCATCTCTAAGGTAATGCTAAATTAGTTGTTAATGTTAAATTTTAGCATTTGAATAGGGAAATTATTCTTCCATACAATGCTATTTTTAATGTTAAGTTTGACATATATTGTACTTGGTACAAAATTGACATCAAGAATTGCATATACTACATTTGTTTTTTTTTTTTTTAAATGAATAAAACTTTTTATTGAAAGGCCGAAACGGCTAAAGCATGCGGCTATAGAGGGAGTCACCTCCTCAGCACTGAAAGAACAGACTAATTCAGGGCCCATTTAGCAACAAACATTTTCAGTCCTAGTAATCCATCTAGAAAAGAGATCAGAAGAAATATGAGACATAGCCAAAATAGCAGAAAATACTAAAAGGACTTGCCGAACCTCAAGACAACACTTACACTCTGTTTGGTAAGATGGAAAGAAAATAAAAGGGAAAGAAAAATCATAATGCATAGAAAATTAGAAGGATAGAAAAGATTTTAATTTTTCCTTGACTTGTTTGGTATGATAGGGAAGAAAGAAAATGAATCTACCTTCTCTTGTTTGGTATTGGAAGTGAAACTAAAGAGATAGAAAAATTATTATTGGTGTAATTACTTTTTTGTCCAAATATTTTTTATTAATATTCGTTTCTAATAAAAGTATAAAAAAAATACAGTATTCAACATCAAATTAACTCAAAAAATTCATTTAACTTAAATATATATTCCATCTATATTATGTATATATACACACACATACGAAATTTTCCACAAAACAAAAACCTTTTATGTATACAATACACATATATTACCAATGCAATGCTGATGATATTATGGCTTGATTGATATTGTAATTATTGTGACGACATTGAACGATTATTAACCATGGAGGGGAAAAAAGCCCCTGTTATATTTGCAAATATTGACAGTTTATAACACCATTATATATGTCATTAGCAAATATTACTACAATAATAGAAAAAGAAGACAAAAAAGTCAAGCTGTAAAAAGATACCTTTGGATTTAGCTTGGCCATTGATGGAGCTCTGGATATTGGAGTTTTTTGGAAAGCAGACTTCATACGGAAGAAAGAGAAGATCTGATATAGAAAATGATTCTCAAAATATCTAGGAGTGTTTAGAAAATTCTTAAATTGACATAGGTCAATTTAGGAATAATGGTCATTTTTTTCTTTAACCCTTTCCAATCCGCCCGTTTTTAGAAGGATAAGAATTTATGGGCCCCAAGGGATTTACAACCCCTTGCTCTTTTTCCTCCTTCCCTCTTTCCATCCTACCAAACAAGATTGAATTTCACTTGCAGCTCTTAATCCACCCCTCTACCATTCCTTCCCTCATACCAAACACATCCTTAGACTAGAGAGACTTCATGGCAACTTTGCAGTCTCCCAACAAAAGAATCGGGCTCCTCAACGACAGTGCCACTTCCACAATCAATTAGCCGCACGTAACTCTGCTTCTAAAGGACTAGAAGCACGAGTTATATCATTCCAAATCTGATTGATGGATCTGTCAAGATTGATGGAGAATTTGAGTGTAGAGAATGAAAATAATACAGAAAAATAAGAGGGCTTGAGGCGTTTACGAATACTTTTTTAAAGGTTTTATTTGCACTCACTTCTTACAGTTTACTAATGAGTTTCTATTGCAAGTTACTTCTGAGATACAACAAACCCTTAAACACAATATCTAACAATAGAATTGTGTTTCAGAACATGAACGATATCTGTAAATTTTTCGGAGACAATAAAAAGACAGAAACGTCATTTCATGAATGAACACATCCTCTTCAAACATCATAACCATTCACATAAAGGTACCTCTTGAATGTAGAGGCATCTCTTCATGTAATAATCCATCTATTACAATAGATATGTTTATTGTTAATAGGTATTCAGAAATGTATGAAAACATATCGCAAATGGTTGCAATGTTTCGGCACAATTCAAATCACACGTGTCAAAACTACACAAAATTAGTACCGGGCGCTGCAATAGGACTTTCCGGGCACTGCAGCGCCAAAACCAGAGCAATTTACTCGAAACAGCATTTCGAAACGCGCTATCACAGTTGGCCAGGCATTGCAGCGTCCCAAACTGCTGCTGCAGTGCATTTGGCAGTAGTAAACTGTGCCAGTGCCAGAGATAGAGCGTTATAGTGCCCCCCACAGCCACAGTAATCGTTGCGGTGCTTTTACACGACCTCAGATTTGTGTGATTTAAATTAAAAGACATATTACAATCTCTCTAACAAAGATTTGATCGCTATTGAGGTGTATTCACTTTTTAATCCAATTATTAGAACATTGTTATTTTAAAGTTATTCAATGTTTAAAAGTCTATTTCTATGAATTGTAAAGCTTAATAGTTACGATAAAAAATAACATTTTGCATTGGGAAAAATAGCTAATCATATTAAATGAGTAATTATTATATTTAGTGCCATTTGTATTTATATTGAAGATGGTCTTATATAATCAAATAATATAATATGTTAATCTTTCATTAGGACAACTTTGGCACTGAACAAATATGCTATATAGATCGGGTTGCTAAAATTTAGGACGACTACCCCTCTTAGGATTAATTAAAAGTGTATCTAGCAAAATGATTAGATATCTTAAGGCACCTAGGGTCCCCAAATCAGAGAAAAAAAAAAGTGTCCACCATTGGCTTTGGCGTGACATGTAATAACTCAATTTCTAATATTCAGAATTTTTTAGCTACTACTTTAAGAAAATAAAATTTATGAAAATTTTGATCTTTATAGATTTTTATAAAGAATATGAGATTTTTATAGATATTTTGATTGTTATTACTAGCCAGGTCATGGATGATATAAAGTGATAAAAAAAAAAAAAAAAATTTGATGGTTAATAAGCAACTTGACAATTCACTTTGTCATGTCCCATTTTTGGGACGTGACACAATTATGGGTGATGTTCTCTTCTTGTACACACCTCTAGAGTCTAAAAACTAGGAGCTAGAAGGAGACCCTTTCACTTCAAGTTGATACAACAATTACTGTGTTATACATGTCCTACACGTTGTACTCACTAATTTCTTACACTCAAATAGGAAAAGAAGAAAGTGAAAACTATATGCATACTTATAGACCCTTTATTGCAATATGCATATCGAAAAAAGTTGTAAGACAAGTATACTTAAAAAACTTAGAGAGGGAGAAACTAACTTTTATTTAGATTTGCCTTACACTAAATAATAACAAGGACAGTTAACCATAATCATTATCCTTGAACCTTAATGGGATCTCCACTGAGCTGAGATCTTTAATCTAATGCTCATTGGATTTCAAAATGTTGTATCCAATTTTGATCCAATCCAATTGGATTAGATGTTGATTTCCTTTTGTTTCGTTTTAATTTTACTTCTCTTTGTTTTTCACTTTCTATAATGGTGAAAACGGTGTAGTAGCCTCGTTTGTTTCGCTGATTCGAGTTTAGAATTCGAGTTGAGATGTGATTTTATGTGAGAATTTTTTACTGTAGTAAAAAAGTTAAATGTGACTGTTTGTGAGAGCTTTTTACTGTAATAAAACTTGAATTATAAACTCGAATCAGCGAAACGAACGAGACCGACGTAATTGTCTACTTGGGGACGACGTCCTATCAATAGAGTGAGTTGTATAATTTGGTGGACCCTATCATATCAATAGATGTCGTTTTCTTTTTGTTTTGGTGAAAATTTAGTAAATGTAGTTTTCGCATTTTGCTTTATTATAATGAAGTGTATTACATGATATTATTAAAAAGGCCGTACAATAATTTTACATTATATAAA